AGAACAAAACTGCAACTACTACTATTCGCCAATGACACAACACCAACAACAACAGACCAACCTAAAAACAAGCCCGTCTACGTCATCGATCACGTGGCCTCTAACTCTCACCTTGACCTTGAACATCTCCCCAGCCTTGACCTGCTTGCTGGGGAGGTAGACGATGAAGTATGGGTCACCGTCCATTTTTTGGTAGCCCTTCAGTTCGTCTTCATCGTCGTTGTTGTTGCTGTCGTTGCTGTTGTCGTTGTTGTTGCTGACGTTATTGTTGTTGTTGTCAGTATTGATGACGTCATTTCGACTTACGTTTCTGCTGTTGTTGTTTTTGATGTTTTTAATGCCACCATTTACAGTTGAGTTAATGTTACCGAGCTCAACATTAGCTTGGTTCATGTCATTATTATTATTGTTGTTGTTGTTTTTGTTGTTGTTTTTGTTGCTGTTGTTGTTTTTGTTGTTATTGTTGTTGTTGTTTTTAGTTTCACGAGCAGAATGGCGCTGAGACAGAAAAATCTTCCCAAGATAAATAAACCCAACATCATCGGCATAATCTTCATCATCATCATCATTGTCGTCGTCATCATCATCACCGTAGACATCATCATCATCGTCGTCTTCGTCTTCTTCATCATCGTCGTCATTATCATTTAAAATATTATCACCGATCGAATGAGCGTTAGTAGTATTGTTGTTGTTGTTGTTGTTGTTGTTGTTGTTGTTGTTGTTGTTGAATTCGTTGCATTTATAGTTATTCGAGTCAAACGTGTGAACCGTATAATATACGCTAATGAAATTGCTCAATACTTTCTTCTGATTAACATTATTATTACTGTTGTTGTTGTTGATGACATTGTTGTTGTTGTTGTTAATGATGATGTCATTGTTGTGGTTGGTGGTGGTGAAGTCGTGTGGCCACCACCTAGAGGTAAATTCGCAGTGAATTTCTTTTAAGCATCAGTGGTATTATATTGTCAAATACGATGAAAAAAAAATCAGACTTTGTTTTATCACCACCATCATCATCATCGTCATCATCATCACCATCATCATCATTATCATCATCATCATCATCACCAACTTTTCAGAAAGAGTTGCTTCAACAAGACAGGCCTTGACGTCATGAGAAAAGTCGATGACGCAACCCGATGTTAAATATTCATAGTCTTTGGTCACCGACAGCTCTATGCAGATTTTTTGGTGCGGTCTGCTGCCGGAAGCGGAAGTAGGTGCCGAGGTGTTTTTTACGTCAGTATGAAGGTGGAATAATACCTGTTGTGCATGCAATAGTTTTATGTCCGTCTGCCTGTCCGTCTGTCTGTCTGTTTATTAGTTAGTATGAATGTATGCATGCATGCATGTTTGTATACATGTATGCATGCAGATGAAATGATGATAATTAGTTTTTTTTAAGTAACTTGCCAGTACCAGCCAGCCAACCAACCAGCTACACATCAGCAGAAACGTCATCATCATCATAGTTATAACAATGATACTCATCTTCCTCATCATCATCATCATCGTCGTCATCATCATCATCACCATTATCGTCATCACCATCATCATCATTACTCACTTTCAAGACGGGATGTTTTTTATGTATGCTCATTTCCGCGCCATTATCGAAAGAGCGTCCTCCGCTTACTCCTTCTCTCTCTTTCCCTCCATCACTATCATCATCACCACCATCATCATCATCATCATCTTCTTCGTCATCATCATCTTCTTCGTCATCATCATCATCTTCAGGATGAGTGCGGACGATCCTCCCATCAACGTATAACTCATCAGAAATGAAAAATCTTGAAGACGCTAATGACGACGACGACGAGGAACTGCTAAACATCTCCAATACATCATCATCATCGTCATTATCACCATCATCGTCATCATCATCGTAACGTCGGACGGGCAGATAGGTGTACTTATCGTGGCCATCGTAGATGATGTTGATTTTGTGGGCGTTTGAGAGGGGCGCGATGAAAAATTCATCGTGGGTGAAGTTTTTGGGGCTCCTGGGGTTCATGGGACGCATGAGGAGGCCCGAATTTGGGGGGATGAATTTGATGTGGAGGGTTTCCTGTTGATTTTGTGAGGGTAGTGGGTGAGGGTTTTGTTGTTGAGGGGGTGTTTCTTGTTGTTGCTGTTGGTGGTGGGGGTTTGTCGGTGCGTTAGATTCAATGTTGATTTTGTTGTTGTTGTTGTCATCGCCGTTTTCAAGTTTTATGAGATTTTTAGTACTTCCAATATTATTTTTGTTGTTATTGTTGTTGTTGTTGTTGTTTAAATAGTATTTATAGTTTTTCTTGACAACGTTGTTGTTGGGTTGATCGGATGTTAACAGCAAAACAACTGATATAAAAAATTTTAAAAGTTTGTATGTATGTACGTATGTGTGTATGTACGTATGTGTGTATGTATGTATGAATGTATGTATGTATGTATGTGTGTGTGTGTGTGTGTGTGTGTGTGTGTGTGTCTGTGCGTGTACGTATATATGTGTGTGTTTGTGCAGGTGTGTGTGTGTATATGTGTATGCATGTTGTGTGTGTATATATACATCTTTAGTAAAAGCAATCATTGAAAGTTGAAAATGCATACATACACATGTAAACACACACATATATACACACAAACATATATACATATACATACATACTACCCAAAACCACTTAGATACGCATAATATGTAAAGGCATTAAATTTAAATCCTGACCCACAACTGCCTATATGCCTCTAGCTTCGTTGACTTAAACTTAGCATTATATATACTATTAATAGTAGTAATAGTCATCATCATCGTCATCATCATCATCCTAGATACTTATGTAAACAAAGCAAATAATGGAATCAAATTTCGGGTCAATAAGTCCCTTTATAAACATTTCTGTATGCTCAGTGTACACAAATTATGTATGCATGTTTGTATGTATGTGAGTATGTATTTGTATGTACGTGTGTGTGTCTGTTTGTGTGTGTTTGTATGTATGTATGTGGTTGTGTGTGTGTGCGTGTGTATTATTGTATATATATCATTATAATTATAAGTTTACTACCTTGGGAACTGAGTAGGAGTACAATGAAGGTCAGCACATCCCTATTTCCCCAAAAATCCGTCATCCTAATCTTCATCGTCGTGTTCTTGGCGTGTTAAACGACCACCAAGACATATTTGATTAATCGTCGTTATTGGTTTTGTTATTAAATAACAAATTAATCCATTCACTCGTCATTTAATTCGTTAAATTTAGAAGAATTAAAACTTAATTAAGTTCATTTAATTAGCAAATCAATAAATTGTTCTCGAATTTCGATAAAGCGTTTTTAATTCTTCATACCAACGGTAAAAAAAACACACAGTATATTAATTTATTAATAACTCTTATAGTATTAAGTATAGGAGATACATAGGAAGGTATATCTTCAAATGATACCAACCATCCTCTGATTAATGTACCTCTATCTAGAGATGAATAGTATCATTTTTGTATATTCGTATTTGTATCTTAGTGTATCACTCGACCATATACGCTACTCTATCTAAATCATTGAAGAAACTTACAATGTAAATAGAAGAATAGTGTGTATGTATGCATGTACGTATGACTGTATGTATGTATGTATGTATGTATGAATGTATGTACGTATGTAAGTATGTATGTATGTATGCATGCATACATGTATGTAAGTATGTATGAATGTATGTATGAATATAAACATACATGCATTATATGCGGATCCATGAGCGACATACATACTTGCACGCATACATACACGCATATAAACATACAAACACACAAACATAGGCATATACATCGAGAAAGTTGTTTGTTGATAATTGATTAAAAAAACACGAAAAAATTGATAGCAGTATGTCCAAGCTATGTGCTATATATATGTTACATCTATTTATTATACATATATATATATATATATATATATATATATTTGTATATATTATATATACACATTTTTCACACACATACATACATAAATACATATTTGATTTATATTATATATTGTTAATAATTTTCGCCATATATTAAGGCCACAAAGCTTTGATTAGACACATAAGAAGATAAAAAATTCCTAAATACCCATATAATATTCAATTTGAATGTCAGATTTATGCAAGGTTTAGTTGGATGTATTCAATACACACATACATACAAAAACCCACCCACACACACATACATCCACACATACACGCATGCACACACGCAAACAAACACACACACACATACATCCACACACGCATACAAACAAACAAAAACGTACTCTGTAATTGAAATATCATGTAGTGTAAATATTTTTTTACATTTGAAACATCGCCAGTAAGAACGCACTAAAACAATATTTTTTGTGCATACATGTTTCAATGTATTTTTGTATTTTTCTCTCTTTCTTTCACTTTCTCTCTCTCTCTCTCCTTTCTCTCTCTCTCTTCTTTTTCTCCATTTAACAGACTAATATAATAAACAATAGATGATCGACTTATCAAAATACCCTAACATGACATAGTTTCATTGATTTCTATACATTCTATGGTTACCTAACAGTTTCTACAAATTTGAAGTTAATTTAAAATATTTTTCATCTATATGTATGTTAATAAGTTTGGGGCTATGATATAGTGAAATAAGTTGGTAGTTTTTCTAACCAGATTCATGTAGTATTTAATCTCATGAGCATGAAAATGTATAATTTGGTATTTAAAATCTTGACTTTTTGATATATGGTATCTTGAAATGACCGAATAGTAACTGAACACGCGATTCATGTACATGTGTACATAAATATTCAGTTATTGATATGCTCAGATAAGTGGTAAATTTGCAATATTTAAGTATAATGATATAAAAATGAAAAAAATTTGCTTATATATTTTGTATCTTTGTAAGAGCAACTGCTCCTAACTACTATAATATAGGTCACCTTTTAATCATCTCGCACGGTTTGAACGTTCGTTTGAGGCCGTTTTTGAAGCGGAGTTTGATTGAAAAATGCCGTCTTTCACACTGAACACTAATTTGCCGAGGGATAAGATTCCTCCTAATTTTCCGGCTGAAATTTCCAAATTGCTTTCGAAGCTTACCGGAAAGCCGGAGTCTGTAAGTTTCGGTTTTTCTGTCAATGTTGTGTGCTGGTTGTGTGACTTTTCTGGTTCTATGAGGAAATTACGTTTTAAAAATTCAAAAATTGTAATTCTGAAGTTATTTGGTTTTCAAAATAGAAAAAAAATCATAAAATTCAGTTCTATTGATAATTATAAATGCAAAATTTGGATTAGTACATAACAGTGGCCATAAATTCGGACCAGTTGCGAGTATTCAATGGTACTCCAGCTCCGTGTGCAAGTAGCACTCTAGAAATTTTGGGAAGTGTGGACAGCAAGAAGGTCACCAAGGAAATTAATGGTCTGATTCATGAAAAACTGGGTATTGATTTTGACAGGTAAGTAGTTTGAGAGTTCCATTTTAGTATTTTATTCAGTATTTTGGCATTTTATTCATTTAAAATTTTGTATCAGTCTTTTTACTTACAATTTACATTACAGTTTGCAAATATATGTTAGTAACATTTTGGTGAATCTTATTTAGTATTTTACCTAGTGTTTTAGTATTCTATTTATAACATTAATTGGTAGTTTTTATTAATGTTGAAAACTGTTTAAGTTCAATTCAATGTATTTTAATTGGATCTGCAGTTATTATTAGCTGAAACTTACTTCAGTTTCAATATATTGCATGTTATATGCTACTTTTATTAAAAAAAAGAATTTATTTCAGCATATATAATCAGACTTAATTAAAATAATGGCTCAATTTATTTTTAATTATCACAATTTCTTTACAGACTGTTCCTATTTTTCTACAACTTAAGTGGTTCTCAAGTTGGTCATGGTCAATCCACATTTGGCTAATAAACTTAGTGTTCATCTTTGTACTTATTGATAAATTAGTTGGTAATTAATAAACTAATTAATAAATTTATTAGATGTGTTAGTTAGTTAATTAATTGACTCAATTAATTAATTAATTGTTAATTTACCACAATTAACACAATTAATTAATTACCACAATTAACGCAATCAATTAATTAATTGTTAATTTACCACAATTAACGCAATTAATTAATTGTTTTAATTAATTTATCTTGTGTTAATCAAAGAATATTACAATCATGTTTTGTATTTGTGTATCTGGTCTATGGTTTTAAATGATGGTATAATCCTTTGTTAGAAAACTAACTTTGTTGAATCAATTAATTTCCTTTTGAATGAATTATTTATCATATTTATTTGTTATCTTTGCTATATTTGTAATCTTAGGGTTGTAAAAATCTCTAGTATAAAAAAACTAGGTTACTAGCAAAGTCAGTGTTATAGTGTTATTGGCGATCGTGCGACAGTGAATGCGTCTCTGCCTCTTGTTGAGTTAGTGAAAAATTTAGTGCTTCCATTACTGTTGGCGTTCGAACAAACGATTTTCTCTGAAGTTACGACACTGGTGTCAGTAGCGAAACAACATTTTATAATATATACGCCGATTCGCTTGTCTATGCCCAAACCTGTCGAACGATAATAAGTTGTTCGATCGCTTTAATTTTATTTAATTTAGAAATTTGGTAAATCGGATTTAAATATTCGAGAAAATGTCTAATCGTCGATTAGTGAGTTACATCGCTCAGGAAGAACCAGCTTTCATAACTAAATTCAAAAATAAAATTGGTTATGTAGAGGAAATTGTTCCAGATGTGAATTCAAAGTTTTCTAAAAATGAAGATAAGGTTGAAAAATTGAGCAAAAAAGAATTAATAAAAAAAAAGATGGCGGAGTACAACAGTGATGACGACGAAGAGGCCAAACCCCAGGTTGTGGCCCTCAACAATGGAGATCTCACTGAAGAGGAAGCTATGAAGCTTGATGTTAAAATTAGTGATATTGAAGGTTTGTCAAATTTGCTTGTGTTATTGTCTGTTGTATGTGTATTTTAGTGTTTGTATGAAGTGTACAATTTATTTGTCTCCAAAACTCAAAATGAACATTATTTTCTATTCATTAATTACTTTAGTGCAATCATTTTAGTAAAGTAGTAGTATGTATGTGACAATAACTAATAATGAGTAAAGAAATAGTAAAAAATTAAAATTAAGTAATTTTCTACTAATATATTACAACTTAACTTATATAGAGTATATTTACTAATAATTACTTAGTTACTAACAAATTTCATTCAATCTTTTCAGATGAAGCAAATGGGAGAATATTGTTTAAAAAGCCAAAAAAAAGAACAGCCCCAAATTCAGATGCAGGTTCAATCACAACTTCATCTGTCAAAAGGTCTAAGGTGGATGATAATGATGGTGATGGGAAAGTCAGTACTTTATCATCTACAAAGTTGTCTTCCTCTACAAAGTCATCATCTGCAAAGTTGTCTTCCTGTACAAATTCATCAACTGCAAAGTCGTCTTCCTCTACAAAGTCGTCTTCCTCTACAAAGGCTAACAAAAAAGCTGACAAGCCCAAGACTAACTTGCTTTCTTTTGATACAGATTATTGATTTCTCATAAACAACTTGTAAATTCTTGTAAATAAACTTTACTTTTGTAATTATGCCTATATTTTGTTGTAAATAAACTTGTTATAAACATAAATTTGTGTTTTCGAAAATTAGATCGTGCAACATGCGTTAGCTAAGCCGATGGAAAATTATTTTTAACAAAGAAAAAATTTAAATTATTTGATCTATGGTTTACAAATCTAGATGTTAAAAGTTAATCTATGCTTACATAACTAAATATCGCTGGCACGAGTTTACAGTTTAGAATCCGCACGAAATTAAATTTTTAAAAATGGCGAAAACTAAAAAAAATCATTCCGATCTGATGCGTAGAAGATCAATGAAAAATAAAAGTGTTAGCAAATTCGAGATTAAAGTTAACAAACAGAAACATCACGTTTTAGGGCAAAAATTAAGTAAGTATGACAGGGGGATGCCCGGAGTTTCTAAATCGAAATCCATCAAGAAGGTTTTTTATTTGTTGTTTCGTACAATCCGACGATTATAACGATATATATTTTATTTATTAATTTAATAATTAATTTTATTAAATATAACAATATATAATAATAATTGTATATATAATAATATATAATAAATATAACAATATATATTTTTTTATATAACAATAATAAGATGATTATTTTCAATTTCTTCACTAAAAATTTTAGAGAATGGAGACGCTGTTGGTGGAGTATCAAAAGTTGAATAAGGCAAACCAATTCTTAGACCATCGCGTCGACGAAAAGGAGAAAAATCTCTCAGAAGATGCAAAGGCCATTAGGCGACTTAAATTGTCTAAAAAGGCAAATTAATTTAGTTTATGTCTTTATGTTTTTACCACAAATTTAATTTTTATATAAAAAAATAAAAGTTTTTTAACACATGATTAAGAAGAGCAGTCTCAATTATTTTTATTCATAATTTCATCAGTTTTAAATTAAAATCACTAATTGTTGTTTTACAAATCATCCTATCCATCAGAATCTCTACAATCTAAATGATGACGACGACTTCAACTACGATGACGACTGTGAAGATGATGACAAAAACAACCAACTAACTCATGCTGGAAAATCTCTCTCTCAAATAGAAAATTTTGATGATGACAACTGGAGTTATGGTGACGACGATGATGACGATGATGATGAAAATAAGGGGAAAATATCGGGAAAGATTGTGGCAGAGGAACATTTCGGTGGCTTCATGAAAGCCAAACAGGACAAAAAGGACGACGGTGAAGGTGGTGAAAATAGTGGGGAGGTTAAAAAGGTGAAATCTCATGCAGACAGGATGGCTGAAATTATCATGGATTCTATAATCAAGAAGGTGATTTTGAATCAGCTCTGCTGTAATGATAATTGTGGCAATAAAGATGATGATATAAATTTTGTCTTTTCAATTTTCTATTTGTTCTTTCTTTCTTTCATTCATTTATCTATTCATTCATCCATTCATTCATTCATTCATCAATTCATTTGGCCATTTGCTTCTCCCTCCAATCATTAACAATTAATTCATTCAACCATCCAATAACCTATCCATTCATCTATTGATTCATCTATTGACTCATTCATTCTTTTGTTTATTTATTCGTTCGTTCATTCATTCAATGCATTTCCTTTTTATTCCTTCTCTCCATCGTAGAACCAGAGAAAGAGAGAAAAATTTGAACATCTGAAGCAAGTTGAAGAGTTGAATGCCAACATGAAGAACGTACTGCCTCAGCTTAATGTATGTCAAGATGACGACGATGATGATGGTTGAATGATGATGATGATGATGGTGAATATGATGATTTCATTATCATGGTTAATAAATTGACACTCCTACGTAAATGTTGATACACCTGGATAGATTTGTACACACACACATACATACACACACACACACACACACACACATACAAACGTGCACGAACGCCTACTCACACACAAACAAACACACAGACACAAACAAACAAATAAACACGCAGATACATTTGAGAAAAGATGGAGAAGATGATGGGAAAAATGAGAAACCAGACAGTCTTGATATTAAGATGAGAATGTTGCACTTTCTACCGAAAGGAACTGTATGTTGATTGTATGATTGATTGATTGATTGATTGGATGATTGATTGATTGGATTATTGATTGATTGGATGAATGATCGATTAACTTTCACTTCATTCTCTTCTTCCATTCACCAAGCCATCAGACAGGCTGAAATCCAAAGAGGAAATTGATCGACTCGAGAGGGAGAGGCTGAAAAAATCGGAAGTGAGTCGAGATAACGATGCCGGTTTTGATTGTGATTACGATTATTATTATTATTATTATTATTATTATTATGGTAGACTGAATGAGAGAAATACTTTTTTTCATTCATCCAGGAAGAAAGGATTGAAAGAATGAAGGGTGACCCGAAGGTCAAGGGGTCATCTGCCGTTAGAGTGCACCAATCAGCTGATGACTTGAACGATGAGTGAGCTTTTTTTGTTGTTGTTATTATTGTTATTATTATAATTATTATTGTTGTTGTTGATGTTGTTTATTTGCAGCTATTGGTTACCTGAGAACAAAAGGAAAGACAAGAAAGTTTCATTTGCTGGTTATTATTATTATTGTTATTATTATTATCATTAGTGATGTTATTATTATCATTGTTATTATTATTATTATCATTAATGGCTTTGCATGATGATTGTAAATGAAAGAGCCTGAAAAGTAATTATTTAAATTTCATAATAATTATTAATTAATCATTTATTTAATGTCAGATGACGTAAAAGGCGATGATGATGATGATGATGAGGAGGAGGTGGATGAAGAAGAAGAAGAAGAAGATGGCGATGATGATGATGAGGGCAAGGATGATGATGATGAGGGCAAGGATGATGACGACGATGATGATGATGATGATGGTGGTGATGATGACAGAGAGAACGTAAGTAGCGGTAATAAAGATAAAAGCAAGTTAAAAATGAAGCCTGGGAATTCAAAAAATGATGATGACGACGACGACGACGATGATGGCGGTGATGATGCCCTGAAAGACCTATCAGACGTTCTTTCAAGTGATAATGACGACGATGATGATGAAGAGGACGACGACGATGATGAAAGAAAATCAGATGGTAAGATTGTAAAATCCACCAAGCCAAATCAGACCTCAGTTGGCGACAATAAACTTGAGGCCATTCTCTCTCGGATCACTGAACTGTCAATAATCATTCCAAACGCTTCACCATCAATTACGTCACCATCATCATCATCAACAACTACTACGACGCCATTATCGTCATCATCATTCGCAACAACGACAGCAGTAGTAGAGGCTAACAAGCAAAAAACTAAGTCTCCTAAAAAATCAACTGCTACTTCTACTACTGCTGCTGCTGCTGCTGCTACTTCCACTACAGTAGCTGTAGTAGTAGCTGCTGCCGAAGTTCCAAACGCAACCGTCACAGCAGCAATAAATAATAATACTAATAGCGCCACATCAATGAACAGCTTATTGAAAGAATTATACACTTTAAGTACTAAGCAATCAAATTCTACCGCACTGGCCGGTCTAGTAAGAGATTCTATAATTAACCATCACCTGGAATTTCAAATTTCCATCGATAAGTCTAAAAATAACTCCGGGAAATACCCGAAAGATAACATTAAATGGGTTTGTATTATTATTATTAGTTAATGTAGTTGTACTAACGCTAATAATAGTAGTAGTGTAATAGTAGTGGTAGTAGTAGTAGTAAATGTATTTGTAGTAGTAGTAATGAACATGTAGTAATTTACCTAAAAGTAGTTGTGTTAAATATAAAATTTATAAAAAATTCTTTAAACTAATTCACTCAAATATTCAATGATTGATACAAAATTTTGCGGTTCAATGATGATGATGAAATGACCTTACTTGACCTGACCCAGTTACTTGACCTATTTCTGGTGGCCCAATTATACCCCACGTCAGATTATCATCATCACGTCGTCACTCCGACCATGCTGTTCATGTCGCAACTGCTCTCCCAGGTTCGTACTGGTAGTAGTAGTAGTAGCTGTTGTAGTTGGAATAGTAGTAGTATGAGTAGTTGTAGTAGTAGTAGCTCTAGTAGTTGTAGTAGTAGTAAGAGTAGTAGTAATCTGACGTGGGGTATAATTGGGCCACTAGTAGTTGTTGTAGTAGTAAAATTTAAACATATTTGAAGTTGTAGTATTGATTTTAGTAGTAATTGTATTAGTAGTAGTAGTGGTAGTTGTAGCAGCGTAGAAGCAGCAGCAGCAGTAGTAGTAGTAGTAAGAGTAGTTGTAGCGATAAAATTCTTAAGTGATGCTTGTATATCTATGTTTTTTTTATACAGGTGTCTATCAGTTCAACATATGATGTTGCTTGTGGTCTGGTTATATGTGCACTATCGTATGAGGTGTGTTTTGATTGATTGATTAGTTGATTGATTGGTCGGCTGTTTGATTGCTGACTGGTTGATTGATTTGTTGATTGATTAATTGATTGATTGATTGATATTATAAATGAATGACTGATTGATTGATACAATGAATGAATGATTGAAATATTAGTAACTAGTTGATGCATCTTTTAATTATATTTTCAGTATGTCAGGCTATCAAAGCGATTCATGCCTGAAGCTGTTCAATTTCTAAAAACCGTTTTAATAATGCATACCGACCTAAACACAGGTTTGTTATTATTATTATTATTATTAACTATTCATAATTTTTCATAATTATTTATAATTATCCATAATTAATTTACTATGAATTTTTTGATTGGTTGCAGAGGATAAACAGAAGTCTTCGTTATTGAGAGTTGAGGATTTCAATTTGTTGAAATCCAAGCCTATAGAGTTCGACATTTTTTTCTTCTCTCATTCATTCATTTATTCATTCATTTATTCATTTGTATCTTCATTCATTCATTCGTTCGTTCGTTCGTTTGTTTGTTTGTTTATTGGCTTTTACTGATAAATGTTCTATTTGAAACTATACTGCAATTTTGTAGGTTTAAGTTAATAGTTTTTTTAATACCCACCTAATTTTGTTAATTCATTTATTAATTCATTTGTTAATTCATTCATTCATCCGTTCTTTCTTTCTTTCACTCATTCATTTTTAGAACGTTCAATCCATCACCTTTCAATCTATCTCATCTGATGGCTGCTGACTCGCGAGCCTTCCTTCAATCTGATGATTTCAAGTTAGTTTCACATTTCATACTATTCCTTTAATGCATTGCAACCTTTTACTCATTCATTCAATTCACTCACTCATTCATGCATTCATTCTTCATTTATTTATTTGTCATTAATTCATTTATCCATTCATCATCATTCATTCATTCATTTGAACGACAGAATGACAACGTTGTGGTACACTCTTGTTCTGCTTAGAAAGTTCACGAAATTATACGCCGACCTGCCATCTGTCACTCAGATATTTCAACCAATCAGAACTCACCTTCAAAGTGTCACTAATGAATTAATGCACACGGAATGCATAAAGGTATAAAATTTAATTATAATTATACAATCACTATAATTTCGGTTATTGTTTTACCATTATTGTCGTTATTAATAATAATAATTATTAATATTATCTTAAATATCACAGAAATTAGCCAGTGAGTTAACAAATGATTTGGAATCATTCAAAAAGCCATGGCAGCCATTGGTCAGACCATTGACCAGGCCTCAGCCAATCAAACAGTTCGAACCAAGAGTTGCAGAGAAGTAGGTTGTTGATTGGATGGTTAGTTGGATGGTTAATTGATCGGTCTGTTTGGTTGGTTGGTTGGCTAATAATACCGTTAATATTACACCGATGTTAGCATTACTGTTAACTTTTACTTTAGTAACATAGAAAGTGAATTTGTGAAAATAAAATATCATTATATGCTGTTGTCATACAGTCTTACTTATTTTATTTCCTAATAAGGTTTGATGGTCGCAAAAAAATTGTTGGTCACAAGGACTTCCAAGCCCGCAAGAGGGAGCAGATCAAATACAAAAAACTCATGAAAGGTTCTGAGAAAGAGATTAGGAAAGATCAAAGTTTCCTCTCTGAGCATATTTTCCAGGAAAAAATAAGATTGTACGTTCATTTTTTTTTGTTCGTTTTATTTCTGATTTATTTTCTATAATTTGAAAATGGAATGCTAAATTCTTTTTTAATCAACTAAACAACAGGAACAAGGAACGCGAGGACAAAACGAAAAAGATTCTGAATTCTCTGGCTCAACAGGAAGGTGACTTCAAAAGCATGCTGAAGCGTAAGAGGAAAGCCGATACTACTGCTGCTGCTGGCCCTGATAAAAAAGGGAAAGTTGTTAAATTTTAAGGAGAATTTGTTATGAACTATTTGTTTATTCATTGTACTTTTTTTCTAGAACTCTTACATAGTTTTATTTTGAAGATGTTTATTAAAAAAAATTAGAGAAAGGTGTTCATGGTGTTGTCATTTGACGATAATTGGTGGGTTTTTTAAACGAATTTTGTACATCAACGTGACATTTGTTTGTTTTGACTAGAATTAGAATAAGAAAGTACTTGACTTACTCAATAGCGTTTCAATAAAATATGAAACTACATAGCCCATCTCAAGTTTGCCATAAATAATTCGATTAATCTACATCTATCTAATCTGAAAAAATGGCGACCACCGAGTTGATAAAAGCATTTTTCGAAGAAGTAAATGAAAGAGTGAGCAGTATTTTCAAGAAATGTGATTTGTTACTTTGCACTCTCGCTTTTCTCTGGTTCATGTTCATATGGGAGTTGTACCTGGCCTACAGACAGGTTCGTCACTTTAAAAATTAAATTAATATTTAAAAACTCAACTTTCTACTAAATCTGAAATATCTAATATGCAGATGCAGACTTTGTTTGTATTGTATATATTTTTTAACTTCAGTTTTATTTTATTCAAGAGTTATTTCCAAGTTTTCTGAAATCAAAAAATGTAAAATGAAGATCTAAAATTTTAATATATTTTTTAGAGAAAAATCTTTAAAAATGTAACTGTGAGGCCGAAAGTGATTGAATCAATAATGGACAGTGAAAGTTTTGAGAAAGCACGTCTGTACAACTTGGACAAGAGTAACTTTGCGTTCTGGTCCGGTCTTTACAGTCAGATCGAAACTACTGTCAGAGATTTTCTGTTATTTTTTCATTTTTAATTTCATTTTATTCTATTTTTTCATAGAGCCGTCTTATTTTATTCACCCTAAAACTGTCATCTATGTGCTACAACACTCAAACATGAAATATTACCAACTGCCCATAATTTATTTGTATAAATTTGTTCTATTCAACATAAAATACAAATATAATACATAAATTTATCATAAAAACTGCCTTCTTAATGAAGAAACCAAGAACAGTCACTTAATACATTGTTAATTTCTTATGATTTTTATAAATACAATAGAGATTTAGCATAAGAAAATTTTTTATAAAAATCAGTATATGTAATTTGTAATTTTTTTTATAATAATTGTGTTAAAATATGAAAAATTATATTAAGATTGTGATGTATTTAAAAAACACAGGTCATTATATGGTTCTTCCTGCTTTCTTATGCCTGGGACTGGTCTGAGAATATAGTTGTCTATTTTGGCCTCAATAAAGACTATGAAGTAAATTTTTTTTAATTAATTAATTAGTTATAATTATTCATCATTATTTAAATTTATTTAAATTAATTAATTATTTAGCTATAATTATTCACCATTATTTACATTTATTATTTAAATATTTAGTACATGAAACATTATATAAGTTTTTAGATTTTTTAATATATTTTACCATTATTTTTCTCTAAATATAAATTTATTCGTATTCTCCACTGATTAAATATTTAGCATAAATTTTTAAATACATTTTTGATATTTTTTATACAAATTTAATTATTTTTTTTTACAAAATTTTTACTCTAGATCACACAATCCTTGGTTTTCACTTCCATAACATCTCTCTATAGTCTCATAACGTCACTGCCCTGGAGTTTATATTCGACATTTGTCTTGGAGCAGAAGCACGGATTTAATAATCAAGTCATTTTTTTTTTTTACTTAAATACATATTTATTTCATACATAATATGAGACACATTTATTTGCAAAAAATTTTCGTATAATTTGTGTGTGTGCGTGCGTACGTGTGTATGCGTGCGTGCGTTTGTGTAAT